TTTAGATCTAAGAATTAGCAAAATATTAGAACCTCAAACCCAAGCAATGACCGGGTTCTAAGATCTAATAATGTTAAAGCCTAAGAATTAATAATGTTAAGGCCTAAGAATTAGCAAAAAATTAGAAACTCAAACCCGGTCAAGGACCGGGTTTTAAGAGCTAGTCCACTCTCTACTATTTAGCAAATGTCCGTCACTAATTAAAAAAAGTAACGCTTTTGCCTTTTTATACCTGCAAAGCAGGCATAAAAAGGCAAAAATGTTACTTTCTTAATTAGTAACAGAGAATTGAGTAATAGTAGATAAGAGTTAAGAAGAAGTAAATAAAAAGGTAGATTTTTAATAAAAGAAAGAAAATGAGAAGGATGGATAGAAAGAGGGAATGAGAGTGGAAGTGGGAATGAGAGTGAGATAGGGAGAGAGAGAGAGGTGGGGGGACGAAGAGAGGGAAGGAGAAGAAGAGAAAGTGAGGGAAGGGAAAAGCGAAGATAAATAGAAAGTACAAAGAAAAAGAAGCGATGCAGAAAAAAAATTTAAACTCCGACAAAGTTACGTGACTTCGGATTTCGCATTCCTGCGAAATCGGAGGAGTTTCAAACTCCGACAAAGCGACGAAGTCATGTGACTTACGGGACTTGTATTTTCATGGAATTGACAAAATTCAAACTCTGCCTAATCAGAGTTTGAAATTTTGAAAAAAATATAAAAAATAAAAAAAAATAAAAAATAAAAAAAAATAAAAAAATAAAAAAAATAAAAAAAAATAAAAAAAATAAAAAAATAATAAAAATAAAAAAATAAAAAAAATAAAAAAAATAAAAAAATAAGGAATAATTTACATGTAGCCAGGGCTATATGTAGCCGTATTTAATAATTCATTAATAACTCAAAATTTTACTAGGGTAACTTCTGTTGTGTAACTAAGTAAAAATGCTTCTCTCACAATTTTACCCTAATGCCAAACTCTAACCCTAACCTAACTCTAACCTAACCTAATCTAAACCTAACCCTAATTATTAATAGCTGCAAAATTTTTTTTCAAAAAACTATATTTGATAGTACGGCTACATGTAGCCTCCGGCTACAAATAAATTAATTCAAAAAATAAATAAAAATAAATAAAAAATAAAAAAAATTAAAAAATTAAAAAATTAATTTTTAAAAAGTATTTTAGTAACTATAACCGGTAGTGATCATCACCAGAGTGCTTATATCTCAAAAATATACTAAGTAAACTAGATCAGGTACTCTAAGTAAAAATACCCAGGATCTCTGAAAACTACATAAGAACTAAAATTGGAACCTTATATATAAAAAAAAATAATTTTCTAATTTCTAACCCTAATCTTAACAAATCTTAGAACCAGTGATTAGAACTAAATCTCTTTTAAAAAATATTAACTAAAAAATTAAAAATTAGAAACTTGAACACAGACAATAACTGGGTTCTAAAAATTAATATAATTTAAGCTTAAGAGCAATATTATTAAAATCTAAGAATTAGCAAAAAATTAAAAATTTAAACTTAGACAATGATCGAGTTCTAAGAATTAATATAATATAAGCCTAAGAGCTAATATCAGTTAGACCTAAGAATTTAAAAACTTAAACCTAGTAATAACTGGGTTCTAAAAGTTAATATAATTTAAAGCTAATTTTATTGAGATTTAAAAATTAGCAAAAAATTAAAAACTTTAAACTAAGCAATAATCAGGTCATAAAAGCTAATAATATTAAGGCTTAAGAGTTAATAACATTGAGGCCTAAGAATTAGCAAAAAATTAAAAACCCAAACCCAAGTAACAACTGGGTCCTAAGATCTAATAACATTAAGATCTAAAAGTTAGCAAAATATTAGAAACACAATGACTGAGTTATAAGAGCTAATAATATTAAAGCCTAAGAGTTAATAACATTGTGGTCTAAGAATTAGCAAAAAATTAGAAACTCAAACCTGGGCAATGACTAGGTCCTAAGAACTAATATAATTTAAATCTAAGAATTAGCAAAATATTAAAATAAGCAATGACTGGATCCTAAGATCTAATAATATTAAGACCTAAGAATTAATAACGTTAAAGCCTAAGAATTAGCAAAAAATTAAAAACTCAAACCCGGTCACCAACCGGGTCTTATAAACTAATAATATTGAGGCCTAAGAATTAGCAAAAAATTAGGAACTCGAACCTGGTCACCGACCGGGTCTTATAAACTAATAACGTTAAGACCTAAAAATTAGCAAAAAATTAGAAACTCGAACCCGATCACTGACCGAGTTTTATAAACTAATAATATAGAAGCCTAGGAGTTAATAACATTGAGGTCTAAGAATTAGCAAAAAATTAGGAACTCGAACCCGGTCACTGACCAGGTCTTATAAACTAATAACGTTGAGGCCTAAGAATTAGCAAAAAATTAAAAACTCAAACCCGGTTACTGACCGGGTCTTAAGAGCTATCTACCCTCTACTATTTGGCAATTCCGTGTCACTTAATAAAAAAAGTAACGCTTTTGCCTTTTTTTTAACAGAGGTACCTGCGTAAGCGGGTACCTCTGTAAAAAAATATATATATAAAGCGTCACTTTCATTAATTAGTGACGGATAACTGTCAAAAAAAAAAAAAAGAAAATTATTTTCTAATAAAAATAGATAGAGAGAGAGAGAAAGAAAGAAAGAGAGAAAGCGAGAAAGAGAGAGAGAAAGAGAAAGAGAGTGAAAAAAGTGAAAAGAGAAGGGGAAGAAAAAGAAAGAGAGAAAAATAGAGAAAGAAAAGAGAAGAAAAAGGAGAAGAGAAAGAAAAAAGGGAGAAGAAAAAAAGAAAAAGAAAAAGAAAAAAAAAAGGAAAGAAAGGGGAAGAGAGAGGAAAAGGTGAAAAAGAAGGGAAAAAAGGGGAGAAAGGTGATAAAAAGTAAGAGGGGAAGAGGAAAAAAAAAGGGGAGAAAGGGAAGAAAGAGGAAGAGGGGGAAGAGAGGAAAGAGAGTTTGTAATCAAATTTGGGTTTGTTTGACCCGAATTTGGGTTCGTTGAGCCCAATTCGGGTTTGTTGAACCCAATTCGAGTTCAGTTAAACCCACGTCAGGTTAATTTGAACCACTTCGGGTTTATTTGAATCTATGTCGGGTAAATTTAAACTACTTCAGGTTCATTTGAACCCACAACGGGTTAATTTGAACCCGCTTCGGGTCCATTTGAGCCACATTGGGTTCATTTGAATCACTTCGGGTCTATTTGAACCCAAATTTGGTTTCGAACCTAGGTTCAAAGAGCTAATATAATTTAGACCAAATATCATTAAGGCCTAAGAATTAGCAAAAAATTAGAAACTCAAATCTGGGCAATGACCAGGTCTTAAGAGCTAATATAATTTAGACCTAAGAATTAGCAAAATATTAGAACCTCAAACCCAAGCAATAGCCAGGTTCTAAGATCTAATAACATTAAGGCCTAAGAATTAATAATGTCAAGGTCTAAGAATTAGCAAAAAATTAGAAACTCAAACCCGGTCAAAGACTGGGTCTTAAGAGCTAGTCTCTACTATACTATTTGGCATTTGGTGTCACTAATTAATTTTGCTGACATTTTTCTGTATATTTCATTGGTCTGTGTTATCTTTAAAAAATTTTATAAACTTTATATTAAAAAGATAGGCTTTAAAAAAAAAATTTTTTCTTTACTAAGTAAACCTTTTTTCAAGATCTAAGTAAAGTTGTAGAGGGGGTTCTTGCGGTCAAAATAGCAGTTAGAATGTTAAAATCAGTCTAGTGGTTCTTGAGATATCTTGGGCTAAAGGCACGAATATAAGAATTGGCAAAGACACAGTTACACAAAGTGTGTTTACTATTATCTTTACAATTGTCTTTGGAATCTAGAGTTTTTCTTTTTTACTTACTTATTTAACCTCCTTTTGAGATTTAAGTAAAGTTGTAGAGGAGTGTCTTATGATTAAAATGGTGGTAAAAATGTTAAAATCAGCCCAATAGATTGTGAGATATAAGCCTTTTTGTCTTCACAACTATATGTTTTCTTCTTTATTTATATAAAGAAGAAACATGTAGTTATGAAATTTAAAATATGTATATATCATGATCTACTGGGCCGATTTTTTAAAAACAATAAAATATATACCCTATAGTTGTGCAGGGGTGTTATTTCAAACTTCAGCCCAGATTAAGCTTAATTTAGGCCAAAATTCAAAATTATATCATTTGGATTCATTGTAACCCAATTCAGGTTCATTAGAATACAATTCAGGTTCATTGAAACCCAATTTGGGTTTATTAGAACACAATGTGGGTTTGTTAGAATACAATTTGGGTTCTTTTAAACCCAATTGTGTTTTTTGATGCCAATTTGGGTTTTTTGAACCCAATTCGGCTTCTTTGACTCAAATTCGGTTTCTTTTAATTCCAATTCAGGTTTTCTGACCCAAATTTGAGTTCTCTGACCCAAATTTGAGTTCTTTAGAACCCAATTCAGGTTCTTTGACTACAATTTGGGTTTTTTAACTACAATTTGGGTTCTTTGATCACAATTTGGGTTTTTTGACCCCAATTTGGATACTTTGACCCAATTTGGGTTCTTTTAAATCTAAATTGGGTTTATAGTTGAGACTTAAAAATAAAATAAAAAAAACCTACAAAGTTCTAAACCTAATATAATTTAGGTCTAAGAATTAGCAACTCAAATCTGGTCAATGACCAGGTCTTATAAGCTAATATTGTAATACGTTGAGGCCTAAATAATAGCAAAAAATTAAAAACTCAAACCTGGTCAACGACCAGGTCTTAAAAGCTAGTCCCCCAACTATGCCTTATTATGAGAATGTTATACAGCTTAATAAGCTGAAAGTTTGAATTTTTTAATTTTTTAATGCACTTCCATATTTGAATTAGATTTTTGTGTTGGATATATCAGCAGCCTATGAAGTTAATAAAGCTAATGTATTGATTGTAATCATGTACTGTAGCATGTACTATGCTTATTCAATTCATCACTTATGTTTCAAAGAATTTTCCATATTTACAAGAGTTATTGTTCGAGCAGTTTTTGCATGTTGACAGAAAGTCAATTAATTGAAAAGACAGGAGAGTGTGGTCAGGGTTATATGCTATGTGCTACAACCCTGCCCCGTTAATGCAAGTGGAGATCGGGATTTCATGCGGACACAACTACATAACAGACATCGATTTTCATGCAAACACAGCTGTATAACAGAAAGAGAAATTAGACCATATCGATTTTAATGCGAACACAACTACGTAGCAAAACGCCACCATTCTCAACCAATATAAAAGAAACAACAAATAAATCGTTTCCCAACACTCTGTTTTTTCCCCTCGCAACAAACCAAGCATTATAACCATTATTTTCTCGACCCAACTCTTCCCACCACACACAGGTGAACACTCTCCTGATTCTGCCATTTTTCTATTTAACATCTGACCTGCTTCGAGCAGTTCAAGCAGGCAGAAAATGACCAGCTAATGCTGCTTCTCACTCATTTTACTGTTATGATGATACCTAGGTGCAATCTCACTTGCTAATTTTTCCGGGAGCATATCATCATTATTTCAGTTCAAATTACTCAGTCAGTTCAAATTACTCACAATGTATTATGCAGACTTAAAGTCCTTTAATTGAATTTATTTCTAGCACCTTTGGTGTGTCAGCATTCTTCCAATCACATGGCCAATTGTACCTATGCTTTTCGATACTTTTTCATAAGCTTTCATTAAATTATTAATTCTATTGGGCAATTTTAATAATATGATGGCAAAAGCTTTATTGCTTTTTAACTCCAATAATGGCATTTATTAATTTTATTCTTATTTTGTAAATAGAAAATCTGCAACAGGTTATGTCAATCACTAAATTTAAATATTAGCAATAATAATATTTAATGATTTTTTTTTTTTATTAATATAATGTCATAGTAGAAACTTTATTACAGTCAGTCTGAAGATTGAAAGTTATCTTATAG